TTAGTTATGTGTCCCACTTACAGATTTTAGTAAAACTAATCCATTGGTAGTCAACAATCAGGTGATTTTAACATATATTTAACAGTTTTTTTTTTTACTTTGTCAAAAAAAGTATCTAGTGCTTAATAGATTGATTTTTTTTTTGTGTATTTATTAGTGCTTTGTCACCAAAACCATTTTTTATGTATATTTATTTTGTCTGTCACTGGGATCCTGTTCACATAACGGCCACCTAATGCTATTTATGTGATTTTTTTTGTTTTAATTCAGTCACGAAATAACTTTTAACGGACAGAACCTATTAAATAAAGATATTTAGGTCTTGCTTTGCCAGCTCAGTTAATGTTTCTCTTTGTTTTGGTGCATAACTTTTTAGAGGCCACTGATCATTTAATTCCATTCAACTGATGTTCATTTTTTACAAAACCATAAATGTCATCGGTTGATCTTTAAATAAGTTACCAAATAATGCAATTGGGACTCTTATGGTTTATATTCCTGAGGGAGTGGGAGGCTTACTTTAAACATTTTGTAACTGGAGGGAAAAGGTGATGATTAACCTGGTTTTAGCACATCCAGCCTTACTTCCATAGTCTTTTTTCTGCCTGTGTAGTCTGTGTAGTTTTGGTTTTCAGTCGCCACGCACAGATGACCCGCTTTACGAATCGCCAGGAAGCCTTTTCCAAGAGTTGCAGCAATAGATGCTCCTAAAAAAGGGAAGGAAATGTTCACATAAGCTGACAGAATAATGAATAAATGTAGCTAATCTTTACACCAAATAGTCCTACAATGTTTGGGAGACAAGTTTTGCATTTGCTACATCTAAATATAGCATTGTAACTTCAGGGGTCAGGTTTCGGATCTTACCCTGAAGCAGCAGCTCTGAATGAGATTTGTCTGAACTTTAGATGCTTTTATTTCCCTCACTCAAGACAAATGACTTTGTTTTCTCACCAAGAATGAATCCCATGGCATCAATCCCAGCAACCAGGTCAATGGGGTCGCTGTGAAACACACTCAGAAGGTCTTTGACACAGTCTGCCAGCGCCTGGATTAGGACCAAAACAGGGAAAAATTCACAACATGCACAGCTTTAAACTACTTGTTACAACAACAGCTACAGATCACATGCCTCTTCTCTTTTATTGTACCTGCGAGTTGCAGTAGAGTCTGGAAGGGTCCAGCCAGGCAAACTCTGGCCCCTTTGTATTGGGGGCCATGAGTGAAAGGTACCATCCTTTCTGCCGATCTGCAGGAACAGCCAATACGTCCATTAGAAGTAGCTGCGGTAACGCAGTCTGTGCAGTCAGAGGGAAAGACTGAGGAAAACTAACGGGACGGGGAGGAAGACATTCGCCTATATCAGATTCCAGAGGGGTGGGTGGGACTGGACCCTGTATAGCTTCACTCTCCTGTTTGTGCTGGATTTCAAAGCAGCTAATCAATTCTAGGACTTGTTTACTTGTCTTTAAGGTTCACTGTGTAGATTCTTAACTTTCCAATGTTCTTTTTTTTCTCCCCCAAGTCCTAAAAGAAACACGGTTTGCAAGAGCTGCACTTTAAATTAGAAAAATTCCTCCATACATTGCTCCTATTTATAACATGTTTTGTCCCATAGAACTCCCAAACTTTAGGTTATTCTACTGTGATTATAGAGGACTCATAGTCCAGACGAAATAATTAACTTATTGTCTTAACCTGTCCTTCCAATTTAACTGGGCTTGAGCTTCTTTCCTGAGATAATTGATTAAAATCTGCAACCCAGTACAGTCATGATCTTAAAGAATTGCATTAAAAGCTCATTCTACAAATCTTTGCTCAGAGACTGTTCAGAACAAAATTTAACTGTACTTTTATATGGCACTTTGTCTTATAATTTAAAATGTGATATAAAAGTCCTGTCACAGTCTGTCTTAACAGTTTGGCAACTCAGAAACTATTATTCATTAATTGGGTTTATCGTCAAAGGTATAGGGGAGGATTTTCGCGAATAGTTGAAAAGACCCGCCTTCTCCATAAAATTAACATGCACAACCCTGTACCTGCTCCCGAGAGGGAAAGCCTATTAAACACGTGCAAGAGCTTGCACAAGCCCATTTCTCCTCGTGCACGCTCTGTTTAAAAGTTGTTTGCATTGTTCATACAAGCTTACTTTCCAAAAGAACATTTTGCAATTTTTTCACTATGTCAAACTCACCACCGGTAGGTGAAAATGGGGACGAGCACGTAGGATGGCGTTACATAAACATAGCACCAGAATGATTGAAAATTAGGTGGACCACTTATTTGGATGATCCATCCGGAAATAGACCATCCTCCACTATACCTTTAATTCTTAGTTTGATATTCTTCAACTGTCAAAATTGAATATAAAAGCTTATATGTCTCAAACATTGTTGCTGAAATGGTGAAAAAAATACAGAAGGTCATTTTATGTAAAATAAAACAAAGAGAGAGTTTTCAGTTTGTGTGAGTGAGCTGTTGAACACTGAACTCTTTGTTTGGTTCCTGCTGTAAATCAAAAGGAAACCAGGATCCTGGGAGAATCAGCTCAATCAGGACTTTCGTGAGATTTGCTGATAAACAATTCTTTGTATTTTACTAGATGTCTAACTCATTACTTCAGCTTTAAAATCTAAAAAGCCAAAGATTCTCAGACACTAAAACAATTAAAGTCTTTTAGCTCCATCCAACTTTTACAGTATTAGTAACTAATATATTATTTTGCAAATTTGTGATGCTACAGCCACACATCTCAGGATGTTTATTGGGATTTTATGTTTTAGACCACCACAAAATAGTAAATAACCACAAAGGGGGAAAATATTTAGTTCCAAAGATTTTAAAGGTTGAGTATATTTCTATTTAATTTCCTTAACTATGATGCCCCTTGATAAAATCCATTTAAACTGGTTTTCTCTTAGAAGTCATAAATCCATGTTCTTTAAAAGCCTTAAAAGAGTTCCACATGGAGAGACTCACACAGACTGAAGCTGCAATTAGAAAAGCTTTATTGATATGAATGAAATAAGTTCATTGGTGCTCGGGCCCTGGCAGAACAGTTTGATGCTGTGAATCGAAATTCACTAGGATGAGAAATCTAGGAAATAGA